TTATTGTATAATGGAAAAGTTATAAAAGTTGTGGGGGTATAGTGGAAAAGTACCAATTAAACTTTATATTTTGTTTGTCTAAAAGCATTTATTACCAGTCTTAATATATTCTTCTTTGCCTTCACTCATGAGTTTATATAATTACTCAACTATTCCCTATACCAAGCATTTTGAGGAAGCAGTATGAAGTAATAAATAAAATTTAGTCTTATCTAAAAGCTGATAAGGAAGCATGATAAGCCTCTAGAAAGTTCTATAAATATAATACATTGTATGTACAAACAGTTAACGTATAATATGACAAAGAAAGTAAATCTGAAAACTAATGTAATTAACTATATATATAAAACAATAACTAAAACTAATAGTTTATAAAAAAAAAGGTTGTCAGTATACTAAAGCTGTTTACTTTTATCTTAAACAAATGTCCCAAGGAATCAAAGTGCAAACATGAAAGTTTATCAGAGATTTTTATATATGTAAACTTCTTAACCCATAGTCTTTAGTAAGAAAATTGTTGAATTATATGCAGAATTTAATTGATATTTTGTTTAATTTTCACAATAAGAAACCTTGATTATGAAAAATGAGTTTACGAGCTTTATTTGCAAAATTCTGTAATGATAAACAAATTGTAACTAATTAGCTGAGAGTAGTAAACATTGTAATGTAACTTGTTTGGAATATTCATATTTTGGAATGAAAAGTTTATAATTTAAAAATTGAAAGTGTGCAGTTTGTTTAAAACTAAAGTTGAATATACTAATAATGATAATGTGTAAATATAGATAGTTTGATTTGTTTTTAGAGGAAGAGTCTTTTTTTTCAGAGTGAGCTCTGGTGGATAAATTTTTAAGTCTGTGTCCAGTAAACCTTGATAATTTAGTATTAGAGTTCATATTCTGGCCTGTCAATATCTATAGCTTGCATATGTAATTGGTAGAGTCTGTAGATTGTTATAATGCTAAATTTACTGACATACATTAGTAAAAAAAAAAGTAGTTTAATTAAATTTTGAATGTAACTGTAAAAAAGGTTATGATGTGCACTTTGACCCACCTCTCACCTATATCCAGAGTTTTAAACAAGGGCTACAAGTTGTGATGTCAGTGTATGTGTGAATAAAGGTTTCTATAAGAGAGCTTAACCCATTCACTGTGTCTGGGATGTATATTTCCCAGTGCTCCCATCCCCTTGCACTGCGACTGGGACAAATGTTTCCCATTGTCATCACTGTTTATGCCTTCTTCTGCTGGGTCTGGGTTCATAATTTTGACTATCATCACACATTTGAGTACCACTTGACCCAATTTTATTTTCTTCTAGGCTATCTGACTCAAGTATATTTACATAGTAATTAGGGTTACTACTTGCTGCTCTAGTGATGCAGGCATGATTGGCATGCAGTTGTCGTACGTTCTGCTTAGGCATCTTGTTGGTTACTGAAGGGCTGATTGAAAAAATTGAGGGAAACTATATATCAACATTAGGTGGGATGCCAGTAAATTCTTTCCAACTCATTTTACTCCCATATGTCATGAGCAGTGAATCTGAATGATAATAGGAATCATTTGTCCCACTCACAGTGTGAGGTTAGTGGGAGCACTGGGAAATATATGTCCCAGCTATAGTGAAAGGGTTAAATATAAAGTTTACATAAATATCTCAGCAACTCCTTTTTAACTGAAATCAGTGTCATGATTTAAATACATGATAAAATATATACATGTATGTTGAGAGTAAACATCACTTAAGAGTGTTTACTTGTGTTCACTTAATGTCAGAATAGGTACTTCTAGATATAATTTTGTTTCTTGAGTACAAAAATTTATGAAAGTGAAAAGCTTAAAGTGTATGTATCACACAGCATTATATGACCGAAAAGAATAATCATTTAAAATTATAAAATTTAGTTTCACTTTAATATTAAAAATTGGACACAGTCTTCTGAAAAAGCATTGTAAAATTACTGTGGTTTTTTGATATGATGGAGCATTATTGCTTTTTTGTTTTTATTATAGTAGTTGTTAGTAGAATACATTAACCTGTGTTTTTGTTATTTTTACTTTTTGTTTTGTTTCTTGTGTGCTGTTTTACTTAATAATATAATATTCTTTTCAAATTAAGAAGTAAAAAAGATAACTATCTCTTGTGTGTGCTTGCTTGTCATGTATATTTACTTAGAGATGATTTCTTTCTGCAGCTGCATTTGTATGAATCAGAAAGTAGAAAAACCGACACTATCAGGTCAACGCATCAAAACTAGAAAAAGAGGTTTGTTTTTAAACAATAACAATTCAATAATCCTTTATATTTAAAGTCTTATCAGTTTCTAAAAGTAACTTATTCGAATAAAAGTTGCAAGAACTAAAATTTAATTCAGCTCTGAAATAAATTTAGGTGTGCATTCAGTTGATTAGGTTTTGAATTAAAGTAAGTTTCATATACAAACATAATGTTCACAAAAATACTCATATAATGTGCAGTAGAGCTCTATCTTAGTCAGATGTTATTTTACTTTATAAATTTTAGATATGTTTATCGTATAAGTATAAAGTTACTTCGATGAATTCTTCTTATCTTGTATTTTATTGAAGATGAAAAAGAGAAATACGATCCTTCAGGATTTCGAGATGCAATTCTACAAGGTCTTAATGAGGCTGGACCTAACTTAGATGCTGTTTATAAATTCCTGGATACTGCTGGATCTAAACTTGATTACAGGCGTTACGGAGAAGTTCTTTTTGATATATTACTGGCTGGGGGCCATCTAGGTGAGCCTCGTCTTTTATAGAAAAAAAAACAGCACTATTAATGTGACTGCTTTTTACATATATTGATTTTCTTCAAACTTTGTACTAATACTGACTGATATTACTGGCCTTTCATTCCTTTTCATCTCAGTAATTCCAATTGAACCTCATGAGTGGTTACAAAATATAATGTGTTAAATACTTTAAAGAATGGATTGTCATTATATATTTGAAAAAATTATTGTTATGAAAACATAATCTTAGGCTATTTCCCAAAATAATGTTAGACAGGCTTAACTTTACAGTTATTTTTAGTAAATGTTGTTACTGTTAAAGTAGTTTGTAGAATAATCTGCTTGAAAAATCATGTGAAATGATCACTTCTTGAGTTGTAGTAAATGCTTTATCTAGATTGAACTTGATACTAAAAATGGAAATCAAAATACTTTATAATGCATAGAATTCTTGACTTCAGGAGATTTTTTATGAACTTGTACATACACAGGTAAAAACTATTTCACCCTGAACTTGTTTGTTGAGTCTATTCATGTTGTTTTTGAACAGCTATATCCACAATATTTAAACTTGCAAATAACTAAAATTGTAATTCTGTTTTTAGTTTATAATGTGTTCTGTTAAAGTGATGACAATTTTTCAGAATATAGCAAAAATATTTAAAAGATATTTTTAAACTTATTTGAATGCATCTGACAATCACTGTACAGTTAATGTGATATTTGTTGCTATACCAGTTGTAAGGTTATACAAGAAGTTTAAAATGCTGAGTACAGACAGTTAATTAGTTACTGAATTATTTTTTTAAATTGAACCTGTTAAGCGGAAAAATGATTTCTTTTGCAGAAATATATAAGATATTTATCTATTTTGTCATGCTCGCATTTGTTATTGTTAATATTTTTATCCCCATATTTTACTTTTATGAAACCATACCAGCTAATGTCTTGATAAGGTAACTCTTAGCCCTGCTGAGACGGGTCACGGCTGAAAGGCCATGTCATCTTGTTTGTTGACTCTCATTCAAAATTTTATTAAACTACTATTTCATGAATTTATGGCAATAAGTTTGGTATCAAACTGTAGATTATAATTCAAATTTTAGTACTATATATTATTCAATTTCTTAATTTAAAAGCAAATATTAAAAAAACACAGATAAACATCGATTTTTGTTTGATACATGGTATGTTGAATGCAGCACTGGTTCAAGTTAGATGTTTGTGAAGTCAAAATACTACATTATGGTTTCGTACGAATTAGAAACTCAAATTACCAATATTGACAAGCTAGAATATAAAATAAGGTCTTATGTCTTCTATTTGCTAAGATATTGCTCATGTAATAAATCAAACACAGTGGCACCCGGCCCACCTTTTTCCATTTTTGGAAATGCTCTCTTATATACACTTACTTCTATATATGACACGTATAACCAATTGGAAGCTCAGAATTTCCCACTAATGGTTTTGTCAGCCATTTTAACTCTCTCAATACGGGGTTGGTCAATTTGAATGAGTCATGTAACCTTTTGTACTTGTTTAAAGTCTTTATAGATTTAATACTTGTAACTCTCAATATAGTGGGCATATCTTCATGAAATTTGACAGATTATCAGTAAACATTACAATGCTTTCATATGCAAAATATCTAATTTATTTTATTAAGTATTAAGGTTTGTAAAGCAATGTTTCTTTCATGCCTTTTTTTCATATCCTGCCTATGTATAATTTTTGTATTAAGATTACAAATACTTTTATGCATTAGAAAATTTTGAAATTTCACATGCAAAATCTTTATAATGTCTGTATACTTATCAAACATTTCTTAAGAAAAAACTATTTTATCTGTTATTTTCAGTAACTGTAACTGTACAAAATATTAGTCCACTAAAACTCAGCCAAGACAGGTCACTTTGTAAAGACTAAATGTCAGTTTTATATTATTGAATACATTAACATGAGAGCACATGTGCCACATCATTGTAACTTCTGTATTGATAGCCAGGCATGGTGAAAGGTCAATATAATAAAAATAATAAATATATATAAAATGTATAATGTTAGGAGATTTAAGCTATTTTGTCTAAACATTTGTGTTTTTGTGTTATAATATGTAGTCATTCTAGAATGAAAAAGTCATACGTTATATTTATTTCCTAGTGATTTTATAGTGATTATGAGATCAATGAAATTGACTGAACCTGTACAGAGATTCGTTTGTGAAAATAACAGATAAAATATAAAGTTTTTTTTCATAAGAAACATTTGATAACTGTCTGGACGTTATAAAAATTTTGCATGTGAAATTTGAAAAATGTTCTAATGCATAAAAGTATTTTTAAATTTAAATTATACTTTGCATGTTGGTTAGACAACATGCATCAGTATATGGTGAGGGGACCTCCCCAGGAAGGTTCTGTATTTTCAGTTTACCTCCTCTGGGATCTGAACATCCACCCATGTGTTTGCCATGAGTGACAATCCATGAAGGGGAGGAGAGGGTCCTGGTAGTTGAGTGGTGTCTGTGGCACTTCAACACACCATTTTGGCTTTGAATTCCTGTAAATAGGTGGTCTTGGGGTGGCCTCCTTGGTGTCAGTCGGCTGGTCCTCTTGGGCTAGGGTCAACTGAGTACCAGTGTTGTGCACTTTTATGGGTTTTGTGGACATTGTGTCTGATGCTGATGTTTGGTTATAGTGCTCATGAAACCCTGGCATCGCTGCAGTGTCTTTTTTTGACATTGTAGTGTGTCACGTTCATGGTGGGTGGGTTTAGTGGGCACTGTATTTTCTCCTTATAGTATGGATACCTCAAATCCTGAAAAAAATAAAATAATAAAAGAACAGCTCATAGGTAAGCGACCATGTCTGGAAGACTGAATAGTAGTCTCCACCCCATTCTTTGTCAGATAAACCTTTAGGGCAAATGTCTCCATTTTTTATTCAGAAGGGATTAATGGGGCTTGCTGGGTCTCCAAAGTGAGTCAAGAAGCTACATCTTGGTATAAAAATCTATCCCAAAACACAGTGAACTCCTCTTGAATTCAAAGGCTATTGGGGATATACCCATTGAGGTTACTCACCATGCTACTTTGAATGCCTCATGAGGAGTTATTTTTCAGAGGGATTTGAAGAACTTTTCTGAGTTGGAGATCCTCACTGGTTTCTCCAACCAAGGAGTTTCTGCAGTGTGATGTATCTCCACTCATAAAGAAGGAATTATGTTTGGGTGTGAAGAAAGAGCTTTCTCTGCCTTTGTCAGATTTTTGTCGCATCATGTAAAGAGTCTTTGCCCTCCATTGGTAAATAAGTTGACAAGTCCACGTTTACTTCTATCTCTGTTCCCACCATTCCTTCCAATGACTGCCTGGGTCCATCTCTTCTGGCCCCAACTTCTGGTGTCTGCTTGGGTTCGTTTTCTTAAGCCCTGAGATGCAGGAATGACAGGTTATGTGATGGAGGGTGGCACTTTGTCTGTGCCACTTGATACACTCTTGGAGGACATAACCATCTGTATTTCCATGTTTCATACCATCACTGTTTGTTCTCTCTACCTATCGCTGCTAGTA